CAGGGAAAGAACATATCAATATTCGCATATTCATTCAAAAACATGAAAATTTTTAATAGAGTACCCTCATTTCTTATTGAATTCCTAAAAAACAATATTTATAATGAATTTTAATAATTTTTTCGGATTTTTTTTAAGCTTTATTCTGACCTATTCCCAATCCGGATCGTCGATTCGTCGATCCGGATCGGTTTTTGAGGAGCTCGTTCAGAGTCACCGATCCGTTTTTTAAACTATTGGTAGAAACATTTTCCTTTTAAAAAGGGTACGGTTTCTATAACGTCGTGACTTTAAACAATCTAACTAAGACACACCTCCAAATTTTATCATAACAAATAATTTTTGTGTAAATTTTTTTTAGGATTATCTAAAAATCCATGTTTATATCTAATTAAAAAAAAGTAATATCTTAAAATAGTTAAAATCACATAGATCTATAAATATATGAAAATCATGAAGATGAATGGTCTAGATAATATGTTACAAGATGTACTATTTGTGAGATTCAAAGTCTTTTTTTTTCTCATTTTCATACCTCTCAATGTCAATACTATGATCAATTAGACGTTAAAACAATATTTTTCGATGGATTTTTTAGGTGGATATGTAATTCTACATTTTATATTTCCAACGCAAAAAATTTTAGGTGGATCTGTAATTCTACATTTTATATTTCCTACGCGAAAACAACGATGGGTTTTTGAGGCGCATCTGTAATTCAACATTTTAAGGTTGTAACTCGTAACCTTATATAAACTTTTTCCTTTTAAAAAAGATGTCCCCTCTTTCTCTCTCCTCTCTCTCTCTAGAAAGGACGTTCGAGCTCCCGGGCTTTTGCCTTCTTCAGATCCTCAATTCTTATTTTTCGAAGACCTAGGCTCAAACTTTGAGGTTATTTGCCGGAATCCGGCAGCCAAATCGCCCCTCCAAAGAGTTTTCCGGCATGGTAGGGAGCGTCAAGGCTGTCGATCCCTTGGCCCATTAGCCCCTGCTGAAAATAGAGGTGGCCCAGACCAAAAGTTCTCCTTTTCACTGGTTTTCCTTCTCCATATTTTGCAGGTAGTGTAATTTTTTGCGGTTGATTTGATATCTGTTTATTTTCTTCTCTGATTTTTCCTACTGCCAAATGCTCTTCAATGCTCCTGGTCTCTGATATGGAGCTTTTGAGAGTGTTATATTATAAAATCGAGTCACTTTCCATTAATGGAGGTAAGATTTTGCTGATTTTGCAGTGAATTCTGTGTAAATGAAATGTGTTACCATCAATAACCTGAAAGATTTGAACTATCAAACTGGGTTGTGTCTTTGTTCGAATCATATAGTATAGATTAATTTCAGTTTTCAGCTTCATAGGAAAAGCTTCAATGGCTTCTCAGATGTGTAAAGTAACTTATGATGAGCTTCTCCATGGTTTCTGTTGAGTTAAATTGAATCTTATGGATGAATTCATGATTGGTTTTGTTTCAATTTATATTTTTCTTTTAAGTCTCCGTGCATAATTCTTCATCTTATTATTTTGTTGCAGAAAACTGGGGATATATGAATGGCCTGGAGAGAAATGAGGGCAAAGGTTAGTTTGCCATCTGGACAATTTGTTATTGTTTAAATTAGGTTACCTTCACCAAACCTTCTGTTGGGGTCTAGTTTAGGAGTTCCTTAGATTAGATTCAATGTTATATGAATTGCCTCAGTCAAACTACCGGGACAATGTATTATTAATGCATCGTCAATCCTATGGTTTATGTGGATATCTTACATTTTCCACTTTATGTTTGCTTCAAAATAGTGTATTTTTTACCCTTAAACTGAAAATAGTGTCTTTATGTGGTAGTTGAATTATATGGAGGAAGAAAATTCATGGTGGAATATAGAAGGTTGTTAATATTGTGGTAACTTCTTGTCAAATGAATTGCAAGTTATATAGAAGGTTGTTTATATTGTGGTAACTTCTTCTCAAATGAATTACAAGTCAAATGAAATGGGAAGAACCAGAGTTTGGGGGGTTGTGTGGAATTGGAACAACCCCCCCAAACACCTCCCCACCTCCACCTTTCTTCTATTATCTTTTGAGTTCAGTTTGCGCTCAAAATTCGTCTCTAATCAATTGAAAACATCAGATTAGACAGAAAAAAAAAAATCGTATTTGCGAGATATGTTTTTGAACCAAGGTTTGGCTAAAGTTAATTTCTTTTGTAATTTTTGTTACCCGAGCTCCCTGAAATTTCTTCCCTAGCTCTATTTATGTGTTATCTGTCAAATCAAGCTTAGTTTCCAAAAAAGAAAAAAACGAAAAAAAAGAAAGAAACTTGCGATCTTGGATTTGCAAGATTTTGAATACTAAAATACTATTTGGCCAAAAATTTCATTGATTCTGTTCCAATAGAATCAAGGGTTCATCATTTTTATTTTTTAAACTTTTTCATAATTTTATGATTTCCGTTTTTTATTTTTCCTGAATTTTCCCATTTTTCTGGGATTTTGTTTTGTGGCCAACTCGCCTGACTCGGGCAGGACTGGTGAGAGTCCGCCTGGACTCACCAAGTGGACTTGCTATGGGAAAACAGTGGTTATAACATAAAGCGAACTTATGGTTTATACATTATAGAATTCTTGTAGAGTGCATAAGTATACTATACTCCTCATCGAAAAAAATAAACAAGATCTATTTTTTGTAAAATTTTATTGACAACCCAATGGATGGTGAAGTCAGATAGGTAGATTTCTCTTCTCAAATGATGGATGTTCATGAAGTTGAATCTTCCTTTTTTGACTGAAATTAACTTTTTGTATAGTCAAATAATTAGTTTCATTCAAGGGTACATAGTTCTTAGTTTTTATCTGCAATGGCATTGCAATATTTTAATTCAGCATGTTGACTACATTTGAAATTCCAATGTTAACAAATTTGGGTGATCTTCAGGGTGCTTCTATCACTCAATGCTTAATTAAAGCTCTGGCTATTACAAAATCAGGGAACCGGCTCCCACCAATCTCTAGCCTAAGCGGGAATGTACCACGTGAGAGTACTAACTCTAATGCCAAAATTTAGTGCTGACATGCAGCCTGCATTCAACTGTTAATCATGTGTGTATTTTATTTTTACTTATATGAAGATATTCTGTATTGTTCTTCCTACTCCTTGTTCGTTTTTCCTGAATTTTGCAAATGGCTGTAGGTTTTTCTACATTGGTCCATCATTTATGCATTGTGTAAAGTTGATTTTTAATGTGGAATGAGGATGAGTAAAGTTGGAAAAGGACTTTTTAGAATGCTAATTTTTCTAACTTTCTTGCATGCATGAAAGTTCATGGTTGTTCCTTCGGTGCATGATCTTGTGCCTAAAATCATCTAATTTACCCCATCGTTTCATTATAGCTTTTGGCAATTTTGTTAGTGTGCATTGTTCTTATTAATTAGAAGAAAATTCTTTTTGGGAGCCTCTAAAGTATTATTCTTCTCTTTTTGTTTTTGTACTCCACTTTTTTCTAAAAACTAATGTCTGTAAGTATCTTATGTTTATGTGGCAGCAGGTTTCCTCTTTAATACCTTCCAAGGTGGTCGCAAGCCCATGAGTTTTAGCAAGGGTCACATTATCCGGTAAATTAGACACTCTTCAGATATCACCATTATGCTTCTAGCTTTCAGCATGTTTTGTTAAGTATTTTGTGTCTTTCTCTTAGAGTCAGACAATGCTGTGCATTTTACTGCAACGGATGATTACTTAGGGATCTTATTCTCATCTTTTGGAGAAAGCCTATGATTGGGACTTTGGACCTAAACAAAAGATAATAGAGTAAAGCCTTAAAGAAAACAAGTAGTATTGAACTTTTGGTGTCTGGACTGGAGAAGAATGACTGGAATTTTCTATTTACCTAGCTGAAGAAGTGCATTATATGTCTTTTCTTCTTTTTTCCAATAATTTACTCTTTCTATTGGTTAAATTTGGAGTATACAAAATTGTGTATTGAATCATAGTACCAAGGTTCAGAAACTCATCTCAGCCGAGGGACTCGGCGCTTGGCCGAGCCGAGTAACTATGCGGACTCGCCTGAGTCTTGCACAGGTTCAAAACAAGCCCTAAGAAGAATGAAAGAAATATTACAAATATGAAAAATAAAAATAAGGTAGGAAAAATAAAATAAAACTAAAAGCAACCTGAAAAAGTCTGAATAAGGTTTAAAAAAGTATAGAAAAAACGGATCCAAAAAAACAGATTTATAGATGGGGAGATTATAAAAAAAATCCACAAAAAAGAAAAACATAAAAAATAGGGATTATGGCAAGAAATACTTACTATTCATTTCCAAAAACATCTAAATCATACAAATACACCAATCCAATATTTTTAGCAATTTTTTGAGTTTTTTCATTTTTTTAATTTTATGTAAGCCCAAGTTGTACACACAACTTGGGGATACTTGAGTCTGATTAACTGGTCCGAGTCCATCCGAGTGGTCCGAGTCCATCCGAGTGGACTTGGACGAGTCATGTAACCATGCTTAGCACTGTTGGGTATGTACAAAAGTTTCTGTTTTACTCAAAGTAAATAGGTTCTGCAAAATTGGGGTGGAAGACTGAAGGAAAAACCTTATAAGTAGTGTGCTATGTGAATTTTACACTAGCTTTGGGCTGATGGCAGGGTGGATACTGGGTTAGACAAAAGGATTGAGGGTTTGGTGACTCATTCCTTTGCCAAAAAGTCGGCAGTGGAATTGGCATCCCTCTAAATGTGTAAAGGTCACAAGAGGGGTATCAAAACATGGTTGAGTTTAGTCTCCATGTGACAATGTTTGTCTTTTCATGAGATGTGCATTATTATGATTTATGAGTTGTATGATTGTTTAACTGCCCCCCTTCTTTTTTTGCTTTAGTTGTTTTCATGCGAGTCCTGAACTATTAGCGAGGAGATCATCACAGGAGCCATTTAATTTGAAGCCTCCTAAAAGAGAGAAACGTGTGAAAAGGGACAAGACCCAACCACCTGTTGAGGCACGATATGTACCTACACCAAAAAAACCTGCAAAACCAACAAATACTAGAACTATTGATATTTTTGAAGGCATGGCACTTGTAGAACTTGCTAAGCGAACAGGCGAGGGTATTGCTTCTCTGCAAAACATCCTTGTCAATGTAGGCGAGAAAGTTGACTCCGAGTTTGATCCTATCAGCATTGATGTTGCAGAGCTGGTTGCAATGGTGAGTTGACAAACTCATTAGTTGCTATTGTTGCAGATTTTACAGGGTTTGATTCTTCTTATCGTCGGTAGGTCTCTCCTATTTGTGAAACAATTGAATTTGTCGTAAATTGCAGTATTTCAGTGGGAAACATGGATGGCTAATTTATTTCTCTAAACTACATATGCGGTCCAAAAAGTGTAAAGCATCCATCTTAAAGATGGATGCAAGTAGGTGTTCCTTCTAAAAACAATGGAAACTAACGGTCCAAATGTTTTCTTACTAGAATTATTATTTCTAGTTTTAAAAATTTACTTATTTTTTCATATTCATGATCTCCATGTTAGAGATTGCATGTCCTTAAAAATTAAGGCCAAAAATCCAT